TAAAAATAGCAAATATTATTTGTAATAGCCATAATTTTGGTACCTACATCTAGTGATGGCCAAAGGCCCGGCCCGGTCCGGAACTGTCGGAGGACCGGAACCAGGACCGGTTCTGAGACTGCCGGTTACATCTGGTTATGGATTTTATCAGTTTTGTGGGACAGGGACCGACCGGGACCGGTTAAGGTTCGGCCCGTCCCGAAATGTATGTATAATAAATTTTTGAAACACAATTTAATTTTAATTATAATAAAACGTATTTTTAAAGTGTATTTGAGTGACGCAGTTACAAATTTTATAATGTATTAAAAATATATATTATTAAAAAAATTATTTTTAATGGGCAGAACCGGTTGGGACCGGGACCGACGGCCAAGGACCGGTTGTGAATAACCTTGACCGGTCTTAGCATTTTCGGCCGGGATCGATTATGGCCAATTATGAAAAAACTTGGGACCGGTTGGGTTCGGCCCGAGACCGGTTTTTGCCCACAAAAACACGGTTCGGGACCGTTTTCGGTGGTTTGGGCCTACTATAGGCTTTAAACTCGGAAAATTATAATCAAATGAAATTTCTACTAATATAACTTTATTAAAAAATGGGACTCCGGATTATAAAAGATACATATCTATAACTAAAAAAGCAGTGAGCAAATTGGAAAAGATTAAACAAATCTACTAACAGTATTTGAAATTTTGGACAAATATTGAGCAAGTCGAATTACGATTAGAAATTTTAGATTTGATTTTTAACGTAATTCAGAATTTTGCCGATTAAGGTGGCACGATCAGTTGAGAAATGAAAATTAAAAACGTAATGTTTTTGGACGAAGTTTTTTAGTTGTGCCATATAGTGAAACCTATAACATGAAAACTATATAGTTAATATATATACATATATGTATTTTTGACGATCTGTTCGGTCTAGACCGATCAAGAAAAATGTTCAAATCTCAGACCAGACTAGACTAAATCGAGCGGTTTAGTTATTTTTATGATCAGACTGGACCATCATACCGCTCAAACCGCAAAAAACGGTATGCTTTAACTTGGTTCGACCGATTTGAACGTCTAACGACTTTTTTGATAATTGTAATAACAAATTATATATAATTGTAAAAGTAATTAAATTACCTTTTTATTAGAAAACAAATGTTTTTCACATATTTTTAAACATTATTATATACAAATCTTATGAAATCCTATAAAATCTCAATCACTCCAATGAGATTTCAAAATCCTATTTTTAAAGAATTTCAAATCCAGATACTCTTACAAACGAATTTTTTTTTATTAATCTGGATATCCAACCTTCTATGTGAGCTGATTAATCTCAGAACGACCACCTGTTTTACAGATAGCCCAGAGTCACCGCATTTGAACCTACGTAGCCACAAGATCATTTTTATTTCTTCTTGAATTTGAACCTAAAATCTCCTGACACTTTTGACCTTTTGAGCCATATGCTTCCTACAAACGAATATTGGTATCGGAATGGATTTGAAATCTAAATAATTAAAATAATCAATTACTTCAAAAAGAAAATTAAAAAATCAATTAGAACCACCAATCAAAAAGGTTTTAATATTTTGTCGTTACAATAAAAAATAAAAACAAAATACAACGAATTTATATATATAATTTACTTTTCAAAAAGGCTGGAATCAAATTTGTCAATGATCAACAGTTTCCTGTTTTGGTTAAAACTGTGGGTTTTACCATGTCGACTCGTCGCCATCATATAAAAACGAAACCCAGCAAAGCAAAACCTGGTGGCTGGTTTCGATAAGACTATTCCCGGTGGAGCCTCTTGTTTACCGACTCAAATATTCTAACTTTAATCGATACTATAAGTACCCAGTTCTGATGATCACTAATTCATCTTAATCTCATCTATAAACAACAACCAATCATAAATTTGTTCAAACATTTCTGTTTCAGCCATCAGAAAAAAGAATGTCGACTCATGTTGGTCAAGTGATTCGATGCAAAGGTAAGCATTTCATTTCATTCTTTCTCTTGATGGCTAAAGATTCGTGCTGATCATGGCTGTAAATTTCACTCAGCGGCGGTGGCCTGGGAAGCTGGGAAGCCGCTGGTGATTGAAGAAGTGGAGGTGGCGCCACCTGAAAAAATGGAAGTCCGGATAAAGATCCTCTTCACCTCCCTGTGCCACACCGACGTTTACTTCTGGGAAGCCAAGGTAAACTACTAGCTTTATAATTATACTATCCATTTGCCCAAATCCATGGCTGAATCGTTGTTTCTATGATCTTTTCAGGGTCAGAATCCTGTGTTTCCTCGAATTTTAGGTCATGAGGCTGGAGGGTATGTTTAGTTCTTTTATAAAATTCAAAAGGGTTTCTGTTCATTTATTTGATTAATTTAGACTATGAATTTGATTGGAATGGATCAGGATTGTGGAGAGTGTTGGGGAAGGAGTGACTGATCTTCAGCCTGGAGACCATGTTCTTCCTGTTTTCACCGGAGAATGCAAGGAATGTGCTCACTGTAAGTCCGAAGAGAGTAATATGTGCGATCTCCTGAGGATCAACACCGATCGGGGAGTCATGATTCATGATCAGAAGTCTCGGTTTTCGATCCAAGGAAAACCGATTTTCCATTTCGTTGGAACTTCGACGTTTAGCGAATACACCGTGGTTCATGTTGGATGTCTTGCCAAAATCAACCCTCTTGCTCCTCTCGACAAAGTTTGCGTCCTCAGTTGTGGAATCTCCACAGGTCAGATCAAATCATATTTCAACGATATTCTCTGTTGGATTTTACATCAAGTTTTCTTGTATCTTGATCATGTTCTTTTGGGTGTTTTCAGGCCTGGGTGCTACTTTGAATGTTGCAAAACCGAAAAAAGGCTCATCTGTTGCCATTTTTGGACTTGGAGCTGTGGGACTTGCCGTACGATTTGATTGACATTGACATTTTTATATTTTTAAATATGATTTGACCTGATTCCGATTCACTAATGGTAATGATTTGATTGTGATCAGGCTGCTGAAGGTGCAAGAATTGCTGGTGCTTCAAGGATCATTGGGGTTGATCTCAATGCCAATAGATTTGAGCTTGGTAAGTTTTAAAAATCTCACCAGTTTTATATATGAGAATAGAAACTAAGTAGATGAATAATGGGTTTCAACAGCAAAGAAATTCGGGGTAACGGAGTTTGTGAACCCAAAAGACTACAAGAAACCGGTACAAGAAGTGATTGCTGAGATGACGAATGGAGGTGTTGACAGGAGTGTTGAATGCACCGGCCATATTGATGCTATGATCTCTGCCTTTGAATGTGTTCATGATGTATGAATTTACTCTTATACCCACTTCATACAAAACCGTTTTCTTTTGATTCATAGATGAATTTACTTGTACAATAACAAAATTGGATAAATTGACAACAGGGTTGGGGAGTTGCTGTTCTTGTGGGTGTTCCACATAAAGATGCCGTTTTCAAGACGAATCCTGTGAATCTATTGAACGAAAGGACTCTGAAGGGTACCTTCTTTGGAAACTACAAACCACGATCAGACCTTCCATCTGTGGTCGAAAAGTACATGAATAAGGTAACTGATATCGTTCACATTTGAATAATTAATTCATAAAAAGGGTAAAAATGGAAGAATGATGAAAAGTTTGTTGCAGGAACTTGAGGTGGAGAAGTTCATAACACATGAAGTGCCATTTTCTGAGATCAACAAGGCCTTCGATTTGATGCTTAAAGGCGAAGGTCTTCGTTGCATCATTCGCATGGACGCTTAGATATTCTTTTGAAGTGTTGTAATTCTTGAAACCTGCTTTCCTTTCTTGATGTTTAAATTGAAATGATTTTGATGTAGGAATGTTTCTGTAATAAAATCTCTTTTGGGCCTGCTGCAATCTACATATACAAATGTTTTGGTTATGGTATTAAAGGAAGAGAGATTAGTGACAATATAAGAGCATACAACAAAACGACATTGCGTTACCCATTAGAAATGTAATTCTTTTTCGTTATGATAGAACCAAGAAGTGGTGTATACTGTTGAGACAAGGTGACCCACTCTTTACCCTTGTGATGGGGGATGTCCAAAATGTGATGGTCCTCAAATGAGCCTTTTGTTGGAATTGAGGAGTTGTTTATCCAAACCCTTGTCCGTGAAGAGCTTACCGGTAAAAATGAATACTCTTGATAAGATCACAGTCCATCTAAATGGTGTTGTAGGAAACAATTTATCCGGTAAGTGCTTACCGGGTAAGAATTTGTCACCCTCATTTACCAGGTAATATTCCCACTCTTATCATTGCTTAATTGCTTTTACCGGGTAATATTGGTTCGATTTTCTTCCTCAGAAACCCGATCATAGTTTCTGACTTCTGTCATCGGCAGCCTTTACTTGAGAGTTTTGATCACACGAAACCATTTCCAGAATTGCGAGGAGTGTGCATATGGGTGTGTATATTATGCATTAAATATCTATATAATTGAAGAAGATGATAGTTTAACAAAGTACACATACACACCTATTTATAAGGCATGAATMGACACATATCAAGGGATGTGATGGTTCATCGTTAACTCCCTATAACTACCATAATAACATACATGAATAGACACATATCAAGGGATGTGATGGTTGATCATTCTCTCTCTATAACTACCATAATAACCGTCTTGCACACACTTTATTTTAATAATATACTAAAATACTAATACAATTATATTATTAATTCCAACAATATTCTCATCCCTTCTTAGGTTCATACCATAAGCTAAACAACCTCGATAAGCGCTTACCAGATAAGCAAGCCGTAAGTGAGGTTTTGAGTCTGAGGCCTTGCATGGAAAAGTGTACTATTCCTAGTGAGATGCGGGGAAATGGTATTTGTGATTGGCCACGGGTGCTTCAAAAAAAAGCACGGGCAAATTATGGATTCGTTATTTGTTTAAATTTTTGGTTTGCGGTTTTCTTTAAGCATTTTATGGTCTTTGGGTGGGTATCTCCTGTAATTTTTCTTTATCCTTTCTCAATTCTTGTATGTCATCCTTGCATAGGGGTCATGCTAATCTTCTCTACATTGTTCCAATTTTATCGGATGTTCAATGTATGGACAAAATGGACAATATGTGGTACAGTTGCCTAAGAAGTTACAGGTTCCGTCTCTTCTATCACGGAAAAAAAAAGATATCGGTTTTTTCGCGGAAAAGAAACTTTAGATCTAATATTTGCCCGGAAAAGGGATGTGTATGTGATTTTTTTTTGACATAGATTGCATGAAAATACAACATATTTTTTCTGATATTTACTTTGTGCACCATACTTTCAAACCTCTCGGTATCTTTACACTGAGTTCTTAAGTCTTATTTTACAAAGAAAAGAAAATAAAGGAAAAAAACAAAATCTCGATAAAACGTAAATGTTCCTTCAAAGATCTTCAAGATGATTACACAATAATTACTCGATAAAACCTAATAAAAATAAAGTGGTTGCTCAATTGATTTATAGATCTCAAAAAAGTAAACAACAAAAATTAAAAATAATCTCAGTCCAAACTGGTACATGATGCTTACAAAATATATGCTTGACAAAATTTGGACCAATTTGTGCTCCATGATTTAGAAGTTACAAACGGTGGTTGGGTTAATCATGAAGTTACAAAATTTTCCCAGTGTATTAAGCATCATGTACCAATTTGTGCTTCATGATTAACCCAATAACTGCTTCCATCTGGTCTCGAAAGCTTAAACCTGCATAATTCAAGATTAAAATGTGTGCTTGTGTATTGATTATTAAATAAACACTAATTCTATTCCATTTGCCTACTAGCCGTTCGAGGATTGATTTTCCCTCCTTGTAATTTTGGTTCTTCTCACGAGCAGTTTCTTGAAATAAACCAAATCAAACCCTATTACATGTATGGTAAGTGATAAGAGCGTGTGGAATGCGTGGCATGACAGAACAAAAGCCTATTGTACCACGCTTAATACAGTTGGAAAAATGCTTTTTTTGGCCCACCAAAATAGGTGGAACAACATCATGTTGACAGAGATAAGATTGATAAATTATTAAACGACTCATGTCAAATCAAAACCCTTAAAACCTTCCACATCTCTTTTGTTCGCCTATATTAGTCTTGTCCGTCCATTCTTGTTTTGTATGCGTAGCAAACGCACACCGAATCAAGGTAGGTAAGTGTGTATATGATTGGCCCATAATTTGTCTATCTATATTCAGTTTACGAATCCCATTTGAGTAAATGGAATCCATAATCAGACACTTTATTTCTTCACAGAAAATATAAATGACCAAACCAAACGAACCCATATATTAATATAACACAACATCTAAATGTAATCCACCAAATGATTAAAACTGAAAGCTTTGAGATCTTACATATGTCTATCCAACAATTAATCCACCTCTGACACAGAAAATGTCTGCAACTGTGTGTAATCCCGTCATCATCATTCTACCTTCCTTCACTCCAGCTGTGAATAAGATGGCCAAAAACCGGTCCCGGGCCGGGCCGGGCCCAATCGGTCCTAACTTTTCTCATAACCGGCCATAACCGGTCTCGGCGTAACTGGTCCCGGTCCCAGCCCCGGTCGAAAATGATAGGACCGGTCAAGGTACTTCATAACCGGTTATGGGCCGCCGGTCCCGGTCCCAACCGGTCCTTGCATTAAAAAATAAGATTTTATTTTTATTTTTTTAATGATATATATTTTTAATACATTATAAAATTTACAATTGAGTCACTCAAATACACTTTGAAAATGTGTTTTAATATAATTAAAATTACGTTTTCTTATAAAAATACATTATAAAATTATTTAAAACATTTATTTATAAAATTATTTGAATTTTCGGGCCGGACCGGGCCGGTAACCGGTCCTTACCGGTCCCGGTCCTTTGACAGTCCCAGGCCGGGCTGGGCCGATTTGACCATCTCTAGCTGTGATCTTTGATATGTCAAACATGACAATGTCACAAAGTTTGAATCCAAGATAACCTACCCTTGTGCCTACCCCTAAAAGTTTCCGATGTTCCATTGCTTTATGTCATTTTCTTTTACTCTTTGTTTTTCGTTCATGTCTCATCTTAATTTCCTTTTATATCAACTCCCACACCGTATTATTGGATCCCTCAAAATGGATAAACTTGCCATTAGACTATGGATTTTCCATTTCCATCAAATCATTAATCACGCCATCAAATCATTAATCATGTATTCTGATTCCTACAACATGTCACTACATCATTTTTGTGTTATTGTCATTCAAATTAACAATCTAAATTCAAGGTTGAAAGGACGGCGCAAAACATTATAAATACCTGGTGTCCATGTTTGGCATGACATCATTGAGATAGTAGCTGACCTATCCACTACAAGGATTCCCTATGGATTTTTACGGATTTCTTTACGGCATGTAGGATTTCTTACGAATTTCTTACTCGATAAGCGTTTACCGGTAAAATTTAACACTATCATTTACTTAACGGGTAAGATTTTAGTCCACTAAAATGACATTGTATGCAACAATTTACCCGGTAAGTGCCTACCGTGGTAAGAGTTGTCGTCATCACTTACCAGGTAAGACTCTTGATCCTTGTCTCGCTCTTACCGGTAAGATTTTTGATCCTTATTATATTCATCTGGTAAGGTAATGTGATTTAGTTAGAGCTTACCCAGGTAAGATTTTCGTAAACGGTCCCTAAGAAATTTTTAATGGTTGTAAGTATGATTTTTTAATAGGAAATTTGTTTTTGGTAAATTGCTAACGTAAGATCAGCTATTCTTACAGATGAATAGTATAAGAAATTGTAGGGTGTAAATTTTTAATAAGAAATTGTTACGTCACACCATGCTTTGTATTGTTTTATGAAATATGTTTTTAGAAAATATATGAATAATTTATCAAATAAGATTTTCGTTACAGAAAAATACAAACAGTCTGATCATTAATTAATGTTAATATAATTTTTTTATTCATTAAATTATAAATTTAACATTATATTCAATTTTATTATAACTTTAACATTAATATATTAAAGAAGATTAAAAAAATACAAAATATAATTTATATTACAATACAATAAAATATATTTACATAATAAAAATACAAACTTAACACATAAAATTACATCATTGTCTGTTTAGAAGTTATTAAAGTTGATGTTCGTACAATCTCTTTTTTGTTTCACGACATTGTTGTGGGCCATCTCATATGTGGTGCAAAGAGATAACCGGAGAAATAATAAGAGCATGTATAATCATGTTGATTTCGACCCCGATGAACCTGGCACCATTCCGCCGCGACTGCTCAACCAACTGCTATACAACATGATCGTTGAAGATGAACGTTACGTTTATATTCATCAATTTGATGATATAGACGATTATATTAACTTACTATAAATATGCCTCAAATCCCTCATAGTACACTTTCTGAGTATGAAAACTATTTCCAAAAATCACATACAAGTACGTAATAGATCAAGGAGTTATTGTTTATAATCAGATTTGACAACGATTCGGAGAAGAAGAAGAAAAAGACGATTAATGTATCGTTTTTACTTTGTATTTTAATTTAATATTTTAACATTTAGTAAATCTTTTGAGTTAATTTTTTTATGATAATATGTAATAAAATGTAATTATACGAAACATTATTTTTTTTAAAAGCATAATTATAAACATTTATTTATCAAATTAAAAACATTTTATAAATTAAAATTAAATATTTTTTCTAATTAATTTATTCTACTTTATGATAATTATTTAACTTTAAACTACAATTTTGGTCCCTATGGTTTACACGAATCATCGAAAGTGGTCTATAGACTTCAAATACTACAATTAACATCTCTAATGTTTGCATTTTGCGTTGAAAGTCGTCCCTCGACTTAACTTTGTTAATTTTTTTCCTGTTAAGTTAGGGGTATTTTTGTCTTTTTTACTTTTAGAAGGAGAACTTTTATAATTTAGTTAAATCACAAGGATCAAATTGTAATTTACTCTAATTTTATGTCGATATCTATGTATACACACACATGTACCCATACGGACACGGAGACCATCACCGATGAACAACTCACGCCTCTGGTGGTCTTCTCCGTCGGTATTCTCCGGTAACACTCCATCCGGCGGAACCCTCCACTCTGGTGATCTTCTCCGGCCCAACCTTTCTATTCCAACACAATATCCATACCTGTAAATAGGCTGTAAACGAACCGAACATTCAGCAAACCGTTCGGTGGGAAGTTCGTTTATTTAATAAATGAACGAACATGAACAATTTTTTTGTTCCTTTAGTTAAACGAACAAACATGAATAAGAGTCTCATTCGTTTATTTATGTTCGTGAACATTCGATCATTTACCATTCGTTTATATATTAAATTTAATATATGAACAATTCGTGAACGTTCGATCATCCTAATCTCAATCATAAGCACAAACCAATTCTAAATTTGTTTAAAGATTTCTGTTTCAGCGATGAAGAATGTCGACTAATGTTGGTCAAGTGATTCGATGCAAAGGTAAGCATTTCATTCTTTCTTTTGAAGGCTAAAGATTTGTGCTGATCATGGTTGTAAATTTCACTCAGCGGCGGTGGCCTGGGAAGCGGGGAAGCCACTGGTGATTGAAGAAGTGGAGGTGGCGCCACCTGAAAAAATGGAAGTCCGGATAAAGATCCTCTTCACCTCCCTGTGCCACACTGACGTTTACTTCTGGGAAGCCAAGGTAATCTACTAGCATTATAATTATACTATCCATTTGCCCAAGTCCATGGCTGAATCGTTGTTTCTATGAGCTTTTCAGGGTCCTTTTCAGGGTCAGAATCCTGTGTTTCCTCGAATTTTAGGTCATGAGGCTGGAGGGTATGTTTAATTCTTTTATAAGATTCGAAAGGGTTTCTGTTAATTTATTTGATTAATTTAGATGATGAAGTTGATTGAAATGGATCAGGATTGTGGAGAGTGTTGGGGAAGGAGTGACTGATCTTCAGCCTGGAGACCATGTTCTTCCTGTTTTCACCGGAGAATGCAAAGAATGTGCTCACTGTAAGTCCGAAGAGAGTAATATGTGCGATCTCCTGAGGATCAACA